AATGGTAGCTTACACCCATCACATGGACAAGCTGAAGAGTTCATTTCTTCCTTTTTGTATGCACTCCTTGGTGCGCTTGCTCCAAGTTGACATTTTGCAGCTCTTGTAATCAGTATTAGTTGCTCTTTTTTTTTTTTTTTTTTTTTTTTTTTTTAGCAGATATAATTTAACGATCAAACGAACTTACCTGTAGTGAAGTTCGATCGTAATTTTATGAACCTCCAGTCCGAAGATATCACTTAATTGAAAACTAGGTAGTACGCCTCTGCGCTGCTCACAGACCACAATATTTAAAGTATCACAGAACACGTTCCCCCGTCCTTCACCTTGCCGTGCGTCGTCGGTTACAGATTCATTTCTTCAAATTATCCCTTTTCGCAAGTTATTGGGCTTACAATTGCTGAAAATAATGTTATTTTCCCTTGGGAGGGCTGGGAAGTGATATCTTCGGACTGGAGGTTCATAAAATTACGATCGAACTTCACTACAGGTAAGTTCGTTTGATCGTTAAATTTTATTTCCCTCCAGTCCTTCAGATATCACTTAATTGAAAACTAGGTAGATGTTTAAAGTAGTACCTTGCGAATATTTATTAAGATTAACAAACCAATACGAAAATATGAACAAGAAATAAGTATAAAACCATTAGGAAATATCTAAGTATTAGTTCATGATTGTAGGTTCACATTTGCGAATTTCGTTGTGTCTACTACTGGTTTGTTGTACCATTTTGCAAAAGTCGAGGTTTGAGTCCATCCTACTGTTTGACAAATCAAATCAACTGATACTCCATTGCTAAAGGCTTTTGAAGTTGAGGCATGCCGGGTAGAATGGGGTTTGAATTTAGGATCAATTTCCGCCAACTCTAAGCCTGTGTTAATCCATCTAGAAAGCGTTTGTTTAGAAGCTGGTTTATAACTTGGCCGAGAGGCAATGAAAAGTTCATTTATTTGATTACGAAGTGTCTTAATTTTTTCTATATAACATTATAATAATTTTGCTACACACAATGCTGGGTTTTCAAGGAAAAAAGGGACCTGCAAAGAAGGTTGGAATTTATTTATTTCGCTGGTTTTTATTCTATCTGTAATATAAATATGAAAACCTATATCTAACTTTTTAATATTTTCCAATTTTATGAGGGAAATTGTAACCGTTGTTCAGTTATCAATGTTAACAAAGTCACAAGTTTAATAGACATGTTTTTTAATGTGAGCTTTTCATTAGGATATAACTGCTGGAGATGATCTAAGAGAGGCTGAGTATTCCATGTATTCTTATACCGAGGAGCACTCGGTCTAATATTAGATAGTGCCTTGAGATACCTTTTTATTAGCGGGTGTGTCCCAATTCCATCAGGCAGGATAAGTGCCAAAGCAGATCGAAACGAGTTAAATGTGACATATTTATAAGATTTAGATTGTAATTGGAGTTCTAGAAATTCAATTACCTCTTTGACTCCGCTATTGAACACTGAATAGCCTTTTTTACCACAACATTCCAACCATAATTTTAATGTGCTATTATATTGCCTCTCTGTAGATACAGTAATCGATTTCATGGTCGTTTCAGTTGCACAGGAGGGTAAACCTTTCAATTCCAAAGCTTGCCGGATAACCTTGCTGCTACCAGGGTAAGGTCCTTGGCAAGGGGATGAGTTTCGCTAAAGGGAGATGAAAGCAAGTTATGAGTGGGTTGAAATACTAACTCTGGTCCAATAATTAGTTTACGAAATATTGGATACCATGGTTGACCTTGCCACCTAGGTACTACCAATATTCCTTCTGCTTTATCTGATATAATTTTTTGAATTACTCTTAATACTAGAGAAAAATGAGGAAATGCGTAGAAATAAATATTGGTCCAGTTTATGGTAAATGCGTCGACTGCCCAGCTATGTGGGTCAGGAAACCAAGACACATATTTAGAACATTGTTGGTTAATATTAGAAGCAAATAGACCTATTTGCTCTGGTGTTCCAAACCTATATAATATTTTTATGAAAGCTTATTTTGCTAGAGACCACTCGGTTTCTGTAAATTTACAACGAGACTCTTTGTCTGCTCTCCAGTTGTCTTTTAAATTGATATATAATGCAAATATATAAATGTTTCGTTCTTCACACCATGTCCAAATTGTTTTTGCTATAGAATGTAAGTGTGAGTATTGAACACTACCCATTCTATTTATGTAGGACATGGCTGTTGTGTTGTCAGTCCTAATTATAATTTTACAGTCAGTAAAGTTGGAAACGAAACATTTTAGACCATAATAAATTGCTTTAAGTTCTAAAGCATTTATGTGCATTCTTTTATCTGTTTGATTCCACCAACCATGAGTGCTTTGTTTGTTGTAACATGCTCCCCACCCAGAAAGAGAAGCGTCAGTATAGATTTCTAGTTCAAACCTGTCATATTTTATTGTTTCTTGAGTTCTCATTATATTTAGTTTCCACCAAAGTAAATCAGGTTTTATTTTATTTGTTATGTTCATAATGGCGTCGTAGTTCATATTGTGTAATTGCAATGCTATACATTTTTCTCTTTCAAGTAATTTGATGTGCAACAAGCCATATTTTACCGCCGGGCACGATGATACAAAGACACCAATGAACATAGCAAAGTCTCTTATTTTGCAAAACTTTTTGGAAAGATATTTGTTAACTAATAATCTTATCTTGTCTCTTTTTCCCTGGGGTAATTCAATAGTCATATTTTTACTATTAAATATAAAACCCAAAACCTTTTTGTTTTGGGAAGGATCTACTGAGCTTTTTTCTTTATTTACTACAAAACCTAAAGATTCTAATAATTTTAATGTCAAAGATTTAGACACTCTGTATAAGAATTACCAAATATTAAAAAATCATCCAAATAATTAACGCATATTACGCCCTGATTTCCAAGTTCCTGGACTATTGGTTTAGTAAGCTTTGTAAATGTGAATGGAGCGGTGGATAAACCAAATGGGAGGCAAGTAAATTCGTATAATTGTCCGCCAAAAGCAAACCTTAGGTATTTCCTATCACCAATATTTACTGGTACTAAAAAATAAGCATCTTTTAGGTTTATAGTGGACATGAACATATCCTTGCGTATAAGTTTTATCACTGTTCTGTAGTCCTCCATTTAGAAATGCAGTTCGTTAACAAAATTGTTGAATACTTTTAGATTTAATATAAAGTGTTTTTCCCCATTTGGTTTATCAGCTAAGAATGTTTTAGAAACAAATTGTCCTAGGTGGGGGTTGCATTTTTCAATTGCTCCCTTATTTAATAACTTTTTCACCTCATTGGACATAAGGTAATATTCCTCTTGGGAATATTGTAATTCTTTAGGTGGCCGAATTTGAGTTGGTATTCTTAATAATGGAATGCTATAACCTTTTACCCAGGAAAGTAAGAGTGGGTTTGAGTTCGACTCCCTCCTGAGTCGAGTCGGGCGATACCGGTTTCCCGAATAGTTACTTATTCGTTTGGCCTCCTCTCGTTCTCTTGGACCTGCAGATCTTGGAGTTTTGGGTATACAATTTTGTCCTAATAATTCTTTCCCAGTTTTCTCCAGTATTTTGGCGCATTTTATTTTTTCTCCGAGACCCTCATCAAACAAGAGGTTGGCACTATTAGTTTTTTCGGCAATATCTTTTACAGATTTATTTAAAAGCGGTATTAACAAGTTTCTTCTGGTTTAAGTAACCTCATGATTTAAATTTGTAAATATCCGCCCTGCATTCCACAAAGGTGTGAGAATTTTTTCTCTAATATCTTTGGGTATATTTTCGTTATGCTCTAATATAACGTTAAGGCCTGTGCTTAGGGCAGTTAGCCCATACCCAATTTCATTTTGAAATTCTAAATAACATTGATCTCTTTTCTTATGGATCGGTGTGAGGATTGGTACTAACTCTTGGTTAATCTCAGGAGGGGTTAATTCAAGGTTAGACGGAAATTTATATTGATTTCTAAGTTTTGTTTTGTCGTCCAGAGTAATGCCATTTTTTAACATAAAGTTCCAACTAGTAACTATTGCTTCATTTACTTCTGGAATTTTAGTAGGAATTTGCTCTGGATCATCGCCTAAAATTTGCATTATATCATCATCTAAAATAATGTCGTTTTCCAGTTGTAAAACTGCTTCGTCGCACTCAATATTTTGTGGAGAAGCCATTCCTCTCAGTGAATGGTCTTCTGTAAAACCTTGCGACGTAGATCTGGGACTCCCTCGTCCAAATGCCGTTTCTTTCTGTAAACGGTCATCAGGTGAGCCTCTGCTGCGATGACTCGTAGAAGACCTGTCTTTTGGTCGATAACAATGACGTCTACGTTCATCGTCAGAGCGATCACGATCAAGTGAAGCCGGTGAAGCGGTATGTGAATGTCGCTTGTAATGGTGACATTTCTTTTTTATTTTCCGTTCTAAACGGGATAAACGTTTAAGCAATTCTTTTTGAGAAATACTCGAATGATCATTGTCCTCACTGTTTGATGATTTGTCTCTATTCCTTTTACCCATCCTAAAAATACCTGCAAATATTATATTAGTTTATACTTACATATAAATTTGAAACGGTGATTGTCACTTACGTCCGTATCGATGCAGCACAAAAGCAATAATGAATCTGTAACCGACGACGCACGGCAAGGTGAAGGACGGGGGAACGTGTTCTGTGATACTTTAAATATTGTGGTCTGTGAGCAGCGCAGAGGCGTACTACCTAGTTTTCAATTAAGTGATATCTGAAGGACTGGAGGGAAATAAAATTTAATTTTATGGTACACTGGCAAGCCACTTATACATACATGAATAACCACCTATAATGTAGTTCATTATTAGCTTAAAAGAATAATAATCCATATCTTGTGAATTTTTTCATAATACTAGAACGAGGTTTATACTACTGCTCCTCTTATTTAGAGCTGATAATTTATACCCATCGCTTCAAGGCTTATATTTTGTTTTTAGTCTCAAGGTGAATCTTTTTTCATTATTTAATATTTTTAGGTACACCTTATTTTGGAGGGATTTTTAAAGTGAAACTAACTCTTGGAAAAGGGTTTCCCACGGAACCACCTAAAGCTTACTTCTTAACAAAAATTTTCCATCCCAATGTGGCTCCTAATGGGGAAATTTGTGTCAATACACTGAAGAAGGATTGGAAATCGGATCTCGGAATCAAACACATATTATTAGTAAGTAAAAAATTAAGCAATAATTTTGTTTTGTTAATATTGAAAACTGTATTTTTTTTCTTTTAGACTGTTAAGTGTCTTTTAATTGTACCAAATGCAGAATCTGCGCTTAATGAGGAGGCTGGTAAACTACTTTTAGAACATTACGATGATTATTCACAAAGAGCAAAGATGATGACAGAAATTCATGCACAGGTACAACATAATTTCTATTTTTTAAAATAAAATACATTTATTTTGTTACAATATTAGTTAATTGCTTTTAGTAGATACAACTACTTCGGCTCTATTTTAAATTTCTTAAATTTTAAATAAAATATGGTTTTATTTATTTTAGCAACACAAATGTAAAGGTCTGCCTGGAGATGGTCCCCTTGCCAAAAAACATGCTGGCGATAAAAAACTCACCGCCGAAAAGAAAAAGATACTCAAAGACAAAAAGAGGACTTTAAAGCGTTTATGAGGACATGAATGATTTATGTTTAAGGAGTGTTTAAATATTTTTGAGAAGTTTTGTTTATTGTGTTAAATAATTTTCCTAATAATTGCATTATTTTGTTAAGTTGCATTTTTTACTTATTGGACTGAAAAGTTGTTTTTAATTTACGTTTTATGTACATACTTAAATAGTACTAATCTGTTGTCTATTTGGTAAAATGTGGACGTATCTACATTTTTTTTTTTTTTAGAAAAGCACATAATGTAAATCAGTATTGTCCTTAGAAAGATTTTGGAATAGTAGGAGTGCAGTTGAAAGGTACTTACCTCGGTACATATTTTGATAATTTCTCAACTAGTAGTTGGATTAGTAGATCGATGCTAGTCTCTGATTTAATTTTATGACATGCAGTCAGATCACAGTACATTGTTTTATAATTTTACCCAATATCACTTAAATTAATAAGGTTTTGTTCGACTATACAAACTACTTATGTATATAAATCCAGAACTATAAGAAAGATATGGGTGCATTATTGAATACAAATACTGATGTTGAGTAGAAATATAACATTGGAACTATTTAAGTATGTTATTTTAATTTTATTTTATGCATATTAGATCACAGAACTTTTATTTACTTCGTTTTTCTTATCAAGAACAAAGTTTATATTAAATATTTGCATTTTAGCAAATTTTTCTTAGGTTTTCTATATTTTAATGTTCTTTTATAATTTTCTGGGTTATATTTGCTTTCTTCATTGAGTAAGTGTGATGCGTTTATTAAGAATACTTTTAGATTAATTTTTATTTTTTTTTTAATTAAAAATTTGTTTATGCCATAGACCTTTTCATGACTGATCACATTATCATTTTAGATATTTCTCATATACAATTTGTAATTATTGTTTTAAGCAGTGTCATTTGTCTCTATATCATTATTTTTTAGCCTATAAGCCTTGTTAATATGATAAAATGAGCAATTAAAAAAAAACTAAATCATGAAAGAACGGTAATAATTAGAATTAATTAATAATTTACTACTTATAAAAAAATATGAATTTAGAATTCATTCTAACGTTTGTATTATACCGTGGGAGGATTAAGTCTTGCCTCCATTGTCAATTCTTTCATTTTAAAGAGAAGAGTTTCGATTTTCCTATGAACCCCTTATTTTTTTTTAAATAGCAAAGGGGATCAAGTGATATTTGAAAAATTATGAGAAGCTGATTTTAAAAGTGTACAGTAACTTCAGTAATCCGGACACATATCGTTCCGGTCAATGTCGGATTATCGAGGTATCCGGACTACTGAGACCATTTATTTTTTTTTATTAAAATTCGTAAAATTGCTTACAAAATACCTTTATTTCGTAAAAGTGCGTACATAAAAAAAGTAAAAACTTAAAAAATCATTCTAATGTTATGAAACTATGAAACTAGAGTACATGTACCTATGTAGGTATAACAAACTACATATGTATATAAGCTAATGTATTCTTTTTGGGAAAAATGTGTCTAACTTGGTTTGAATACTCCTCTTTTAAGCCAGTTCAAACGCCTTTTCCTGAAGTCTTTTTAGCAGCAAGATGTCTTCAATTGGAAAGTCATTTTCCTCTGCCCATTGAATGGATAATGATAATGACCTCGCAGCGTCACCGTGTCTTACTCTTTGCACAATTTCTTCTCCAATGTCAGATTCGCCGGATTCATTCTGTTGGTCTTTATTAGCTATTGCCTCGTTTATTATGTCTTCTTCTATTTGGTCTACAATAGTGTATTTTTCTCCAATCGCCCACTGGATAATATCCTTGCTACTTAAGTCATTTTCTGGATCTATGATATTTAGCGAATCTGTAATATCCTTAAGGTCTGACTCATTTACAACGCAAAATCTCTTTCGAAGTTCTGAAAGTGGCAGATTGTCTTCATCAGACCCCAAATCCTCCAACTCCTCTGAGCCGCAAATGAACTCAGTCCATAATGCTCCCCAGCTCTTTTGAATATTTTTTGGAGAAATTGATTTCCAAGCTAAATCCAAATTATCTACTGCATCTTTTAAGTTGTATTCTTTCAACATCTTTACTATAATTTCTCCTTCATTTTTAGATATGACTTGATTTAGCAAGCGCTTTCTGTATCCCACCTTTATATTTTGAATCAAGTTTTGATCCATTGGCTGGAGCACTGCCGTGCTGTTAGGGGGCAAAAACATAACTCTAAAATCTGGATTGAAATTTAACTCTTCCTCTGGAGGATGAGAGGGTGCATTGTCGATTAGCAATAAAGCTTTTTTGGGCCTGTTAACATCTGCTAAACATGTTTTGACACTAGGTATAAAACATGTTTTAAACCACTCCATAAATACAGGTCTTGTCATCCATCCTTTGCCAGTTGCTTTATACACAACGGGTAGCTTAGCATTTTTAAAAACTCGGGTGTTTTTGATTTGCCGAGAACCAGAAGTGGTAATTTATGTGTGCCTTCAGCGTTACAACAGGGCATGAAGGTTACACGGTCTTTGGATATTTTTCTGCCTTGAGCTGATTTTTCTTGACTATGAACCCATGTTCTATCGGACATCACTCTCCAAAATGCCGCGGACTCGTCAGCATTATACACCTGTTCCTTTGTTAAGCCCATTTCCTGCACCACAGCACGAAACCTTTCTTGAAATGGGGAATGGCGTTCACATCACTCGAAAGTTTCTCACCACAAACCTTTAAAAATCGAATACCGTGTCTTTCTTGAATTTGTCGAGCCAACCAGAGCTAGCCAGAAAATCATCTTTTTGGGTTATGCGTTCATAAAAGTGCTTCGCTTTTGTTCTTAAAAGATCTGAAGAAACAGGTACGTGAGCAACACGTTGTTGTAAAAACCAACTGTATAAAGCAGCCTCAACTTCAGGATTTTCGGCTTTTCTGATCACCTGCCGCTTGCCTGAAATTAAGATTAACTATGCATTAGGTGGTAGTACACGGGCAGGATGGGGTCCATCGGACATGGCTTTTACTTTAACATGCAACGGACCTGATCCTAGAGTCTGCGTCAACACACACGATGGGATATTTTAGGGGACTCATTCCGAATCTTGTCAGATCTCTTAAAAAATCCGCTCGTGTATACTTACCTATTTTTGTAATGACAAAAAGTTATTAAGCACATACCTGTCCCTTGATATGATTTTGACACAAAGTTTCTTATTTTGTCCTTATTTTTCTTTATATCAAAAATTGTGGATCTAGGCACTCCAAAATTTGGTGCCGTTTGACGGATACTTCCAGACTTATCTAGACTGTCTAATATTTCACATTTTTTGCTGAGTGTTAATGTTTTGTGGGGCCTTTTGCTTGGAGCCATTTCCAACAGAAGACTACTATGCATCTTATGACTGATTGGAATAAAATGAATGCGAAAATGCCTACAATCTTTACGTCGGCGTCGCATCAAATGAACTTGTTAAGACAGGCAAATGATTGTTATGGCTTTCTTGCGAAACGTTTTAACGTCCGGTTTAGAGAGGTAAAATTTTTAAAATGTCCAGTTTATAGAGCAATCCGGATTACTGGAGTGTCCGTTTTAGCGAGTGTCCGAACTACTGAAGTTGTACTGTACTAGAGTAGTAATTCATAACTAAGGATCTTTGTAATAAATATTAATTAGATAATCGGTCATTGAAACAATTAAAGTTGTTTTTAATAATGGACTATTTTTGTGTGGGATTTTATATCTACTATTTTAGTTTACGTGCCAGGCTGCTGTCAAAAAATAGAACAACTGGAAAACACGTATTTTTATCAATTTCTTTAATTTGTATTCAGGATTCACAGGAATATTTAAACTGTCGGATAATCCGATGAATTTAAAAAATCGACTTGTCCAAGTTTTTTGGCTGACAAAGGAGGTAAGACTTAATACTCTATTCAACAATTTGTTGAATCAGATGTCAAATCTCTTAATTGCAAAGAAAGTATTATTGCTGGGTTAGATATGATAAAAGGTTTATTAAACTGAATGACACTGGTTTTAGATTTAAAAAGAAATGGCAGTGATAATGACCAAATTAAGATTGATTAATATAAAATAAGGGAAATGCGTTCACTCATTTTATATTTTTAACAAATTAAGATAATGGGAAGGTAATGGAATTTAATTGTGCAAATAATGGATTTGTTATTGTCCATAATTGATAAGTGTCAGCTTAAACCATCTAGAAAAACATGAATTCATTTTGATATTTTTGTATCATTAGTTATCATGATACTCTTTACTTTCCATAGTTACAATAAAGTCTATTGAAGAAATTTAATTTCGTTTTTATTGTTGGTTTAATTTGTTAAAAATATTTAAGAATTTGAAGTACTTACCCATTACTTTATAATAACCGCAAATTAAAAATATGATGGATGATATACTGAAGATTGCAAGTATTTTCCCTGTAAATAAGGATGTATATTTCTAGTTTTTAAAGATGATCCCTAAGTTTCGATATTTTCATAAAATTGTGTGGCATCGATGTAATTAATAGTGTTGGTTTCGATTCATTTGTGAAATGGACTTTAAAAAGAAGAGAAACCTGTGTAGATGTTAATTCGGAACAACTGAACTGTACATAATTCGTTTTTATTTTTCTTGTTTAGTTTAACCATTAGGTGTAGCACAAAATGCACCACTGTGCAATTTATCGATTATTTATTTCACGGTTTTTTATTCAACTTTAGGATGTGTTTGTGCAGTTTGTGAAAATATTTATTAATAAATTTATTACTCTGTCGAATGTTGCTGTTTTAATTTTTTTAAGACTCATTTTCTGGTCTTATTTGTGGTATTTTTTTTTTTTTTTTTCATAATTATCTACCGTCATAACTACCCAGACAGCACACCAAATCCTTTGGATATCTACTGAACATCCCAATATCCACTGAATGTCCAGTCCATGGTAGATATATATTTTATATCCATGAGATGTAATTTATAGACATGCAAATGTCCATAAATAATAGTAATTATATAGCAAATTATTAAAAAATTACGCCATTGTGGCTAATAGTACCGTTCAGATATTTAAAATTAATTTTTTTAAGGTGTATTCAATATCCCATGAACATCCACTAAATATATCAAAGTCTAGGCGCGAACGCAAACCATCGTGGATATCCACTAGATGTTATTTGATTCTGCTTAATAAGTATAGATGGTGATACCACTATCGCATCTACTCATGCTCGACCCGCCGTAATAGAGTTCGATCGAAATTTTTGTCCTACAGACTCCATTAGAGACTGGAGTCGAGAATTTCCATTTATTGCTGAAGAGTCCTAATAAGGATGGCTTTCTCCTTAGTGGGCAAAATATTTTGAGTGTTGAAAATATTTTTTATCTCTGCTATTTTCTTTGTAAAAGAGCTTCACAATTGATTTTAAAATTAACAACTTTGTAGAGGCTAATTATGGAGAAGTACTTTCGTCTTACGTCGAGACTTGTCAATCTGTGTCTAGTCAGTAAAGCATTTTGAGTAATACCAATCGGTGGATAAATTTGGTCTGCCCGAAAACTTAAGTATTTGAGGAAACGCCTTTGTGTGGACTCTATCCGACAAATGTGTATTTGATAATAAGGATCCCAAATATGTCTTTGTCACATGAATATTCGTTGAATGTGCTGTGATCGGAAAGGGCATCAACAGAAAAATTTGGAATTTCAACACCATAGTTCTTTGCTCCATAAAGAGACGGTATGTCGAACATTATTGCAGGTCTTCCAGTAGGTGCTATACTATTTCTAGATTTACTTATTTTATGCACATTCCACTCCATAACAACTTCTTTGAGGTCCTCCTTAAATTAATAATTAATATTATTAATAATAATAATAATAATAATCTCTTTTGAGATTTATTTAATAAATTTATAGTATTTTTACTTTTTAAACAAGAATTCTTACCTCAGCGTCATAAAACAAAATTGGACGAGAGACTTATTCAAAAAATCACCCCAAAAATAATCTTCATCTTTCAGCGTTTGAAAAAAATTCATCCAAAATTGTGTATTATGTTTTCGCAAAATAGACCACCATGCTTCTATTCTATGATTATGCACACTTTATCCATATAAAAAACACGGTTTAGAAGAAGGAGTTTGGATAAACAATTCATGATATGATTTTTGCATCTTCTCAATTATTTTATTTTCGGTACCTAAATCGCACCTTACACTTTTAGGTCAACCACCAACCATTTTTATTCCTTCTAAGTAATATCCTGCAATAACCTACAACAAAAAATTCTACAGAATGCAAAAAAATGTATGATGTTTTACTTCGACTGCAGTAGAAAGAGTAATAATTGACATTTCAACGACCTGTTAAACAATAAGTCTCGGTGGGAAGGGATCGTATATCTAAGGGGGTTGCGCTATAGCCTTCCAGATTGGACGCTATTTTTATTCGAAATAGTAGTCGTCAAGCCTGCCAATTTATAAAAAACGTTTAAATAGTTTATTTAAAAATAAAATTTTCATTGGGTTCGACATAAAAGATTTAAAATTAATCAATGTTTCATGATTTCACTTGTTGTAGATAGAATACATCGTATGTCGCAACCGCTTAGATATACCAAACCCTTTACCACCGACAGCCATTCTGTTTGGAATGCTTAATAATTATATTAATTTACCTTTGGATCACTAGCTGTAGGTCCCGCTCGAAGCCAAATTATATGTCTAGAAAATCCGTCAATGCAACCATTAATACAAATTCCATATGGTTTTAGTTTATCGTATGAATCAATGTGCCATAAATAGTTTGGACCTTTATTGTGATATTGTCGACGTCTTAATCGTTTTCTAATTTCCACACCTTCCGGATATAACAATCCAAGCAGTTCTATGACGATATCTTGGGTGACTACAAGATTTTTTTGGAGACATCCATGAAGTTGTCCACATTTTTTAATTTCGCTTCCTATAAAATTCATAACATCTTCGATTTTGGAATATTTTTTTCGTCTATATAGTTTTTTCAAAATTCTTTGCAAGGCACGAAGGAAAACACGCTTATTGTGCAGTATATTTAAGAATTGTAAAATTTCCTTTTGCTGAAATCCATATGAAAAATATGTCTTTGCCAGATCTTCTGTATTACTTGACTGGTAAATAAATTTTGTTTATTAATCGAAATATGTTATAAATGCATAAAATTATTCACATTAAGATTTTTGTTACTTACATTATTCGAGGAACTCATAGCTATGAATAGAGATGCACTATGTCTCAATAACTGAACGCTAAAACACAATAATAATAATAATAATAATAATAATATGTTACACTTACTACATTTAAGAAATTTATTACCTACTCCAAAATGCGAATCAAAACACACAGCACGTTTAATCGAGGTATTTATTTAATATCAGTTGTGATTTCAGCCTTCTTAACTTGAATTCCGACCTGTAACTCGGAACTCCGACTTGTAACTCGGAATTCTGAATTGTATATCAGAATTCCGAGTTGTATGTCGGAATTCCGAGTTACAAGTCGAAATTCCGAGTTACAAGTCGGAATTCCGAGTTGCAAGTCAAAATTCCGAGATAAAAGTCGGAATTCCGAGATACAAGTCGGAATTCCGACATACAAGTCATAATTTGAAAAAAAAAATTTTTGTGGCGGTTCTACTCCTTCGTAGATAGCTGGTTGTAATTGTTTTTTTCCGGTCTGTTATATGTCGTGGTCTTTTTTGGTTATCACTACCAAACGTTTCAGCTTCAACTGTGACAGTTATCGTCAGTGCCGTGGACGAAGTACTTTTCTCGACGTATCAACTGAAACTGTATGTGTGGTATTTATGAGCATGTCTGCGCGCTTTTTTTTTGGCGGTACTGGTATTAGGCGATTTTATTTTTGTGCTTTTTAATGATGTGTATCAGACCCTAGGTAATGTTTTCTTCTTCCTTTCTATTGAAGTTATTTTCATGTTTGTGTATTTCTATAGACTCTAAGGGAAATCTGGACGAATAATGTCTTGATATTGCTAGTAGGTCGGTGTTTACGAAAAGGATATTGTGTTCTTCGTCGGATAATGTGTGTTCAGTGACTGCAGACTTTTCGGTTTGTCCTAAACAAGTTCGTTTGTGTTCTGTTAGTCGTGTACCAATGCTTCTCTTTGTTTGGCATATGCATACTTTTCCACAAATGTATGGAATTCTGTAGACCTCTGCTGATGTGGGGGGGTATCTGCGGTCTTTTGCTGTTTTAAGATATTCCCCTATTTTCTTTGTTGGCTTGTAGACAGTACCGATTTTCTTTTTCTTATCTTATATTTGTCGTATTGCTCTCTGTATGCGTTGACAACTTCAAGCAGCTCATATTTTAAATAGGAGTCGTCAAAGACAATGATTTTTTCAAACAGCCAATTTTTTATTTCGGGATTGTTCCATGAGGTAGCTGAAAAATTAAAATATACGGGAATGATACGAAGCGTTATCCATAACAACAACGTTCTTTTGTCCATTTTTCGGTCAGTTAGGAATTAGCGACTTCTCAAACTTTTGATCGACGTTTATATTTCGTCATGATAATCGCCATGGTTTTCTTTGCCAAGAAAACACGCGGGGCATCAGGTAAAAATCTACCTTTATATCCTTCATGAACAATAATGAAACGTTGGCCTTTTTGCTTTGAGGCCTGTGGTTAAACCCTTTATAAAAGCATCTCTACGATTTTTTATGGTGTTATCACACCATGTATAGTTAACCGTTTGATACAAGTCTCATCTAAATAGATAACGTAACAATTTTGTTGGCGATATTGTTTGATAATAAATAATGTCGTTGCGTTGTAACATTATACTTTCACGACCACGTTTCATACATTTAAAACCCAATATCTTTCATCAATCTACATAGGGTTCTTAAAGAGAACGGTGGTGAATTCTCATTCCCTCGAATAATATAAATTGCATTCAAAGTTGGCGGAATGAAAAAATCATTGTGCACAATACCTCTCAATAGGCCCTTTAAAACCCTCATCATATGTATATTCGCGAGAATTATAGTGTCTTACCCGCTTTTTTTCTGGCAGGAAATTTCAATTCACTATTGTTTTGTTCCTCATCTTTCTTGATGATATAAATTGTTTTTCACTGAATCTATTCATTTTGGAAGCACAACTTACCGCTGAAGTCAATCAATTTAACGTCATTGACTAAATAACAAATCTAATTAAAGCACAATTTTCGCACTCGCATGGAGCATTTGTCCGTGTTTGAATTTCTTAAACTCCATATTGCAGGCAAAAAATGACAACTAAACCAACCCCAAAAAAAGTTATTGAGTAACTAAATAACAAAATTTAAAAAATTCATGGGCTTTATATATGTGTATGCAATATGAATTCTCAGGCTAGCGCCACGTTAGGAAGAAGTTTAACCGCCGAAAATGAGCCGCAGATCTTTGTGTAGTAAATTCAAATGCTAAGCGTTTCAACCAATCCTCAGCTCAATGAAGCGAGTTAACGAATTGTTCGTAAGAGATTATAGGATTTGTTTGCAGCAGGCGTACAGCTGCTGAAGATCGGTGGCTGAACGTCTACCTAATGTTGCGCTAGTCTTACAAATTTAAAAAAGAAAATATTTCACCTTTTTGTAAAATAAATTTTACCACTGTCCTTACGCTTTTTTTTCTTGTGTTATTTTGTCCTGCCCCATTTTGTCCTGCGGTGTTTTGTCATGGAGCCATTTGTTACAGAGTGCAAATATCACAAATATAATTTTCGGGTGTGT